CCCCCCCCCCCCCTAAAAAAAGGCAACAGACTTGCGCATGTTTGTAACCTTCAGCAGAAATGCTTATCTACAAAAACAAAACGTCAAGAACTTGTGTATTAAAACGTCAACAGGTTTGCCTATCCATGAAAAAAAATTTATGCAGCATGTAGCATGCATCCCACACTTTTACCTTCCAACGGCGGCCTTGTTGCACGATTCCACGCAGCAGCGGACCCCTCCCCCGTGCGCCGCGCAGTGCGACGTCCTCCCTCTGGCCACCTTGAGGCAGCCTGGGATGGAGCACTTTCGCCCACCCCCGTGGCGGACGCAGAAGTTCGTCTTCGACTGCGCGCTCTTGGGGCAGTTGGGGAACTGGCAAAGCCGGCAAAGGACGAAGTGGGAGCGCAAGACCGTGTTGCAGGGTCGGTCGGTGGGCGGAGGGTTTTGCGGCGTGAACCCAACCAATATTACACATCGGGGAGGGCGGGGAAAGGGGGGGGGGGGGGGNGGGGGGGGGGGGGGGGGGGGGGGGGGGGGGGGGGGGGGGGGGGGGGGGGGGGGGGGGGGGGGGGATGGTGATACGCGCTACGTTTTTCGCAGCCCCATGATATTCGAGCATGACATCCCCTGGCATACACCGCTTGGAGGACAAGAAGAACAAAAACAAGTCCAAAGGAGCCAGTCACTCAACACACACACACACACACACACACACACACACACACACACACACACACACACAAAACACAAAAAAAGCCCACCTGACAACGCTTTCCTCCGCCGTGCCCCGTGCACAGGTCCGACCCCCCGACGGCGGCCTTGCCGCACTCGGGCACCGAGCACCTCTTGCCCCCGCCGTGCGCCGCGCAGAAGAAGCGGTCGCGGGCTCCCTTGTTGCAGCCCGGATGAGTGCAGCGGCGCCCCCCGCCGTGCGCGATGCACAGCCGGGTATTCCCCTGTGACAGCTTGTCGCACCCCGCGTGCTGGCACTGCCGCGCGGCGCTCCAGTGGTCCCAGCAGAACGGGGTCCGACCGTTCGGGGGGTTGGTGCACCCCGGGGCACGGCAAGCCGCGGCGGCGGTGGCGGCAGCGGCGGCGGCTGAGGCAGCGGTGGTACTGGCGGACGACGCGCCGCTGACAGCGGGCTCCGCTGCCGCGGACGAGGCCGGGGGGGCTGAGCCGCCGCCAGAGGGCTTGCCTCCTCGCTGACCTCCCGCTGGCGAAGCAGCCTTGCGACCTCCTCCTCCTCCTCCTCCTCCTCCTCCTCCTGCTTCTGCTCTACCTGCCGCTGCTCTTCTGGGCGCCGGCGCGGGCGCCGCAGCCTGTGCCGATGATGCCCTCCAGCGGGCCTTCGACTTGCCCTTGCCGGCCGTAGTAGTCGCTCCTCGCCCGCTGGCCCATAGCTTCCCGACACCGCCTTGAGCGGTGGCGGCGCCGCCGCCGTATTGCATCGCAGCGGCAGGAGAAGACCAACCCGCCTTACCCGCGGCCGGCTCTGAATCAAGACTAGCGACCGCCGCCGATGCTGCCGATGCCACCGGCACCGGCACCGGGGGTACCGGCGGACCTCTGCCGTTGTTCTCGGCGACCGGAGGCCGGCTGTCCAGATCAATCCGATTGAACAGGAAGGGTGCGGACGACGCCTTGCTCCCCGGCCTTTCCTCGGGGGGGGGCGGCACAAAGGCCACGGCGCCCCCGTCCGGCCGGAAGCCGCCACCCTGGCCGCCGCTCGCCGCCGCCACCGCCGCCACCGCGAGGGCGGCCCTGTCACCACTCCAGTCAGCGGCCGCGCACTTCGGCAAGGCGGCCATGAGGGGAGACGAGCGTCCGTTGCTGTTGTTGCTGCTGCTGCTGCTGCTGCTGCCGCCGCCGCCGCCTCCGAATCCGCCGTTACCGGAGCTGCCGCTGCCGTCCTGCGACAGCAGTAGGTTGGCGGCGAGCGATCCCGGGACACCCTCACCGCCGCCGCTCCGCCGCGTGCCCCCGACGCCGACACCGTTGATGCCGTTGGATCTCACGTGGTGCTCTGCCCATCTGTGAGCAAAACGAACGCCAACAAGAGACGTCGAGAAAAAGAGAGAGAGAGAGAGAGAGAGAGAGAGAGAGAGAGAGAGAGAGAGACAACAGCGTTACGAGGGAAGCAAGTACATGACGACCGCCCGCAGACCCGGAACAAAAAAGTCGGGAGGGGGAGGGAGGGGGTAATGGAGAGGAATGGATGAGACACAGACGAAGAGGCATGTCAGAAGAAGGAGCATGTGATAACAAGGCACCGTCTTGGCATACTGCATAAAAAAAGCCCACAATGGAGGAGAGCCGGAAGGACATCATCACTGCTGTACACAAAGATGGCCGGCTCACAGTGCGTGGTGTTGGTACGCCCCGGCGACACGGCCGATGTCTTTAGCGGACGGCGGGTTGTCGCGGAATTGCTGAACCACCGTGGTCGGAGCCGGGCCATCTTCGAGGAGGAGCCTCGTCGATCTCTCCATGAACTCCACCATCAGCTCGCTGCAACGCCGTCCATACACATGGGAGGACGCACGCCGCAAAACAATATAAAAAATAAGGGACAGTAAGCTGTAGATACCTCCGTTTCCGCGGTGTTCCGTTCTCCTCCAAGCGGTATCTGTTGATCGCCATCACGTGTGCCGTACGCCGGAGTCTTCCGCTTTTCGGAATTCTTTGGGTCCCATCCCGAGACATAGCCCTCTTCTTGCCGCTGCCGTAACTAAAACAACCCGAAAGGTGGGCTACATTGCAGCTCGAAGCTTCTTTCCCTCACCCGTAGAGTATCATACAAGCTGTAGGTAGGTATGTCAAGCACAGGCGCTGCATGTCCACTTTCGGCACGAACTGCTGCTGCTGCTGCTGCTGCTGCTGCTGCTGCTGCTGCTGCTGCTGCAAAAACAAAAAAAACTGCTCGCCGCGATGAGACACATTCCTAAACCCAGGGTTCGCCACCACAGCAGGAGCTCAAGAAGGTGTTCAAGGGTGCATGCCAACTTGACCACCACATGCGAGCGAGGGCACACCACCAGAGAGCGCTTCGTGTGCAAGTCTTGCGTGTTGACCAAAGGCGTAGCAAGCCCGTCGTCATCTTGGATGTTTACAAATCCTTCCTTGGCTCAAAACTGGACTGCTGCCTGTAGGAGCTAGATCTGATCCGATGCAATAGTAAGTCGTTCATGCCTACGGGGGGAGACACCCTTCTCCCTCTTGGAATCCCCAAATTCACCATTGCCAAACTATGTTTGAGATGAGGGAGACTTTGAAAGGGAAAGGACGAGCNGGGGGGGGGGGGGGGGGGGGGGGGGGGGGGGGGGGGGGGGGGGGGCACTGGTCCTCGTGATCCGCAAATCAACCTTTCTCCGCCCCCGCAAGCAGGCTTGCCGGGGAGAAGCACGAGGCAACCCATCACCCTTACCTCGGGGGAAGGCAGGACATGGAGTACAGCATCAACACGCCGCACTCTTCGTCCGCGCCCAGCGACAGAGGAACGCCGAACGCGGAGCCGATGCCCAACAGCCGCGCCACCGACGCTAACGGGTTGCGCTCCGAGTCCACCTGCGAGTAGTCCACCTACGTTGCGGTTCGTTTGGGACAATCGATCACACGGTGGCGGTGCGGGTGGGGGTGTTGCTCGCCGTCGTTTAGCAAATCCGTACAGCAGCAGGGTCGGAATTTGCAAATCCACGCACAGCACTGTGCGCGAAAGAATGCAGATCGCAGCAGGTGGTGGGCGCGGGAAGCTCACGCCCGGGCACACGTCGTGCACGGCTTCATAGTCGGAGACACGCCAAAACAGCAGCATCAACACAACCAGCCGTTGCCCACAACGGTGAGGGAGTTGATCGCAGGCAGGCGGTCCTGCGTTCTCGACCCGAGCAGAGCGAGGGCTCCTATCATAGGCGCTTCAAAAACAAAACCACCACCGCTCCGTCCGGCACCGACCAAGCGGCTTGAACAAGACCAGGCCACAGAGGGACTGTACGATACCCCTCTCCGCCCCCCCACACACCCCCAGGCCCATCCCCCCAACTCGGCAGTAAGTACATGGGAGATATCAGCACTGGCCTCCTAGACTCAGGAAAAAATCGACGGCGCCACTCTACCTGAAATCGATGGCCGACACAACACCGGTCTAACGTGGCAACAATGGACAAGGAGGACAGCCAAAACAACCAACCACAGTTGGTTTCAAGCGCGTGCGTGACGAACAGTGTATCCACTACATGAAGCCGCACCCGAGGGTGCCCCGTTGGAGTGTGGCCCTTTCATCAAGGCTACCCCCCCCCCCTGCATGCAGACTCACCGCCCACTGCGGCCTGCGCTCCCGAAACACAATTCCAGGGAGGCCGACGCCGCTCGCCAGCACCACGTTCCGGCTCAGGCTCGACCACTTCGCCAGCGCGGGGTCCTGAACCTTCGAGTTGTACAAGAACAGCCGCGACACCTTCTTGTTCCCCTTGCTCCCTGCCGCTGGTGCTGCTGGGTCCCCCTCCCTGCCACTACCGCCGTTCCGTGACAGCGGGAGCCAGATGTCTGCGGCCTGGAAGAGCGACATGGACAGGAAGCCAAGGATAAACTCGTCGAAACGCTTCCGCTTCTGCTCGTCCCCGACGAAGCCCCGCCGCTCCGCGGCTGCCGCTTTGGCCGCTGCCGCCGAGTTGTGCGCGGCCAGCAACGCCCCTGGCAACCCTTTCCTATTCCCGCCGCCGCCGCCGCCGCCGCCGCCCGCCGCCGCCGCAAACATCGCCCCGGTACCGCCGAACCCTGCCGCCGTCGTGCTCGCGGAGGTCTCCGACGTTGGGAACATTCTCTTCTCCGTTTGAATGGAGTACATCTGTCTCCCGCCATTGATCGCCGCCGCGGCTCCCCCCCAACTCGCCTCCGCCTCGTCCTTGTCATACTCCTGCTTGAGGGGGCTCTCGTCTACCAACTCTTGCTTCAACCCCAAGAAGTCAGCCGATGCGGAAGACGCCGCTGCTACCGCTGCCGCCGCCTCCGCCTCCGCCTCCGCCTCCGCCTCCGCCGCAGCAGCAGCATCGTCGCGGACGCCGCCGCTGCTGCCGTCGTCGTCATCGCTGATGCCGGGGGTTCCCACGTTGGTGCTCAGCAGCTCCGAAAGCGTTTGGTAGCTCGTGGAGCGCCTGCACGGCTTCGCTTGGCCTTGTTGGGGCCGTCAAAGCACAGGGACAAGGCGGGGGACGAGGACCGAAAGGTAAGCTGCAGCGTGGCGTGCTTCCAGTAGATCATGCAGCAACACCACAATGCACTCATACCTCCTTTCCGACTAGTCCGAATGCAGTGTTTTCGGCCGCACTCTCGTACAGCAGCAAGCAGTACAGCGCTCGACGGAGGAGGTTTGGGGACCCTATCGCGACTTCGCTACTTTCAGCATCCAACCCTCACGCCCTGGTTTCTCTTGTGTTATCCTCTCTCACCGCTTCCAACCCCCCCGTCTCGACCCTCTCCTGCCTTGTCCAGGGACTTGACAGAAAACCCTTGCGAACTGGGGCTCGGGGCAGGGCTCAGCGGGGGGCTATCTGGCTTCATAAACGCTGCCCACAGGCTGTACTCCTCCGAGTCCAGCAAGCCCTGTGGGGAAGGCGCAAACAGACAGGTTTGAGCACGCGCGTGGAGGCGCGGAAGGAGGAGCGGCGGCGGCGGCGGCGGCGGCGGCGGCGGCGGTTTAGAATCTCCGTTTTGCCAAAGGACTCCAAGTGACACTCTGTTCCTGTGTCGGACAAGCAACACAAACAGCCGTTGTCGCAAGACACATTTCACTCGTCGTTCAAGTCGCTGATCCAGCGCGTTTGCTGGAGCAGCAGCCTTCCTTCTTGTGTTGCAACCAAGAGGACAAAAACACAACTTTCTCACAACTCGCAACAGGCTGCGCTACCCTCGCGTGCCTTCTTCTTGTCGATCAGGCCATCCGCATCCCCTTGGGGACACACAACGATCTCTATTCTGCTGTACCCGTTCCCCGCGCCCACACCTTCCGCGAAACAATCACTTCAAAACTAAATACCAAGAGAGAAAATGACCCAAACTAGCACCCCCTAGAGTATCTACAAGCGCAACACATACCTCGTCAGAGCCTATGCTAAGGCCAAAGTCCACCGAGGCGTTGGATTGAAAGGACCCTCGCTTTCCCGGCGTCTGCGATCCCTCCCCGCCAACTCCTCCCTCTTCCCCGGGCAGAACCAGCCACCCCATGCCGCCGCCGCCACCGCCGCCGCCTGCGCTGGCGCTTCCAGCACCACCACCGCCCCCACCTGCCCCATTCTCCAAGAGCATCATGCCTCCCCCGCCCGCCCCCGCCCCCAGCGACAGCGGCGTCATCGGCCGCTTGGCATTGCTGCCGCCGCCGCCGCCGCCGCTGCCGCCGCCGAAGGCAGTCCCTCCTCGTGTGTTGATGTCCGAAGTCGTGAGCGCCCCGGAGGAAATGAACCTCCCGCCGCTCCGGTTGCCCACCATGAGCCCGCCGCCCCCCGGCCGGAAGAACTCGGCCGGGATCGATCCCCCGGCCCCGACAACGACTCGGTGGCGGCCGCCGGCGTCGTTGTACACGGAGCGCACGGCGCGCAGCGACCGCTCCGGGTTGGGCATCTCCCCCATCGCCAGCGTCTGGAACATCACGTCCACCGGCAGGGACGCGCGGAGCGCGTCCAGCCGCCGGAGGCGTTTCTGCGCGCTGCCCCGCCGCCAGGCGGGCGAGGCGCGCAGCGCCACCTTCGGCGGCGGCGGCGCCGGGCCCACGGGGAAGGACGACGCCAGGGCCGGGAGGAACGCGTCGGTGGTGTCCGAGGCCGAGGCGGCCTGCGCCAGGGTGTAGAGGAACTCCATGGTGCTCGCCGAGTTCTGGATGAGGGAGGGCGAGAAGAGAACCAGCACCCCCAGCTCGCGGCCCTGTGTGTACACCGGGGCCCCCACCGCGGTCCGCAAGGGGAGGTCCGACCGCCCTAGGAGCCCCTCCTGCACCTCGGTGTTGGCCCATACCCCCCCTCCGCCGTCCCGGACGGCTTCACAAATCTTTTTTTTTTTTTGAAGTGGACATCCCATCCGTCCCCCACCGCGGTGGTGTGCGACAAGGAGAAGGAACGCCAATACAGACAAAAGATCAGAGATGACATCCACCGACCGCCCGTTCAATGTGCCGGAGTGGTTTCAGATTTGCGAAGGTGGGCGGGGCGGGAACCTATTTAGCTATGCATACGACCACGACAGCGGAGTGGGTCTCAGGCGAAAGCTTCGCACACAAGAGCATTGCAGCAGGCATGTGTAAGCGCGCGTACGCGCGCGCCCGTTCGCGAGAACCAATGCCGAAAAGTTACACGCCCAACCCCTTCCCGCGATAACACCAACCCCCCCGCCGCGAACATGGCGGAACGAAATAAGCGCACAAACGCAGCTACGCAAGCCCATAATAGCGGGTAATCTTAACAACGTGATCAAGCAAAGCAGCATACAGGAACATGTAACACTGCTACCAATCTCGTGCGAACCCTACAACACAAGCCGACCACGCAAGACACCATGCGCACCCACAAGCAGCGCCCCCCCTCTCACCAGAGGCGAAAACTTGTGTTTGGAGACGTCCGTATGGTTCTGATCCCAGTCCTCCGCGGGGGTGACGAGCTTCGACCTCTGGTCCCGGAAAGATGGCGACGTGTACAGCTGGACGAACCGCATCGGCCCGTCGTTGCTGTCATCACCGTCATCGTCGTCGCGAGCGTCTGCCATAACGACACATTCCGTTTCAAAGAGAGAGGAAGAAACACAGAACCTCACCACACGAAAAAAAAAAAAGGGGGGCACAAGGGGTGCAACGTGCTGCGCTACACGCACCCACACATACAAGGGATTTGAGGTCAGGGGCCGCACTGCCTTTCCCTGGGCCCCTCGCTGTGGCCACACAACACCACCGCTCAACAGCAAAAAGACGCACGATCACCATCCTCAGCAGCAGAAGCAGCAGCAGCAGCAGCAGCGGCCGCAGCAGCATGTACCGACCGTATGATGAGGCGCGACAGTGCGCGGGGTGTGTATCTCCACCTGTCACCTTTGCTTCCGTCGCGGTGTGTGCGCGTACCGTACAGTATGCTGCGAAACCGGCAGGAGCACACGACATGCGCGACTGGGTACGACGTGAATCTATCTCCGGTTGTACATCCACCCTCACGAAGACGACGCTATCTCAGAAAAAAAAAAACAGGAAAAAAAAAAAGTTGTCCCTGGGATGGCGCAACCTGGGAAGACCTCCGTCCGTCCGCAACGTGAAATGGAAGTTATACACAGCCGCGTCTGAGGTACGGCTAACGCACGCCGTAATGTAGGCAACAAGCGAGGGGACCAATAGGCGGCATCACAAAGGAAAGCGACCCACCCACGCGCGCGAGAGGACGGTTTTCCGCGGCAGAAAAAAAAAAAAATGCACCAAGAGACATCCATCCGGCGTCCGCAGGTAAACAACACCCGCTGACAGTTCGCCGATTGATTCTTGAAAGCGGATGAAAAAATGAAGCCTGTCTTTTGGAGTGGGTGGAGCCAGCGGTGCTTGCGGTGGCGAGAACCGGTATCTTTACGCGTTTCTTTTTCTGCGGCGGCGCGGCGGTTGTAGCCTGTCTCGCCGATGAACCGCACCGTGAGCGGGTGCTGTTGACCTGAGGAGGCCGGATGTAAGCCCTTACATGTTGATGCATTTGTTATTTCTCTCTCTCTACAGCGGAAAACCGCTCTTGCGCGAGGTGAGTCGCTTTTCCAGAGAGAGAGGGAGAGAGAGAGAGAGAGAGAGAGAGAGAGAGAGAGAGAAAGAGAGAGAGAGAGAACGCACCAAGCGGCATTCATCCGGAAGAGCACCCGCTGGCGGGGCGGTTCGTCAGCGAGACAGGCTTCAACTCAAAAACGCCGCACCGCAGCAAAATAACCGGTTCCCGCCATCTCAAGCACCTCTGGCTCCACCCACTCCAAGCCCGGCGGGATGGCGGTCTAGAAACGAAAAAAAGAAGGCTGGTGAGAGGAACGTGCTGCTGCTGCTGCTGCTGGGGCTACCGGTCGCGTTGATGCCGCCTAACATGGAGCGAAGCGTGTTTTTTCCCTCCTGAGGATGTAGGATGTACACCAGTAGCCCACGTGCGCTGGCTCCGAAGTTGCTGGTGTTCCTCGAAGGCAACATTGCTTGGACACTTGAATTGTTAGCGAATAGAGTGCGGATGAACTAATAGTTGCGCGGAGCCTTCCAATGCTTGGCAATGTCAAGCAATCGCCTTGTCGGCCACACAGAATCCGGAGGCACAAGCCTCCCGCAACGCCGTTGCTGTAAGTAACCTTTGGACGTCCACGACGGGGTATGATATTGTTGTTCCAAGTACAAAAGCGAACGCGCAGACGCGGTGCAAAAAACGATTTTTAAGTATTTAATACGAGAACAAAGGCGGCGGATTATGCTGCCGGTGTTATACACACCAAGATGTAGGGCGTGTTGTGTTTGTTCCTCTGAGTGTCTTGATTCATAAGCCGCGCCAGATGTCAGACTTGACGAAGCGAGGCAGACATCTCAAGGCGTTCTCTATTTTCTGTGTGGCTTCAAAACAACACACACACACGCACACTCGAGGAAAGGTTTGCGACACCCGCCGATGTCCTCTCGCTGGGGTTCGAGATGGAATCGAATCGTGTGTTTTGAGCAGATGAACAAAGAACAAATGAGGCCTGCTTTTGTCGGGCTTGCTAGCGACGACTCCTTAGAGACACACGGAAGAGTGCATGGGCCAAGCCCAACGCTGCTGTACAAGCACCTTCCATGTAAGACTACACAAGAGATGGAAGCCCCGACGCTGCTATAAAAACAGCACTTCCATCTACGACTGCACAAGAGATTGAGCGAACCGTGGTGTAGCCGTCGCCGAGGCAACCTTTCGCCAGACCACGTATGACAAGACACGACACGTGTTTGGTTCGTGATGCTACAAGGCGTTTAGATAACACATATCCCCCCTCCCTGCGGGGGGCAGTTGGCATGTGACCACGGAAGGGGTCCGCGTCAGTTGGACCAGTACGGACATCAGAAGGTATTGAGTGGAGACCGAAACGGTTTTCGATGTGAAGACAACAACAATATGCCATCTCGGTCGGTGTACAAGGGTTGAGGCAACCATTTGCTGTTACTGCTTTTGTCTTCCTTCTTGTTGCTGTCTTCGCGAAAAAAACCCAACAAACGTCTAGTCCCAATAGGAATAGTAGACCGCGTATTTTCTCGTGCCACTCCTCCCTTCTTCCCCTCGCTCCTCGACAAGCTTTTGCTTAGACATGGGTTGTAG